GAGAGGCAACCAACACTCTGTTACAGCTTTTTTTTTCTTTTTTTTTTCCTCTTTCTTCACGCTTGGCACTGAAAGGCAAGACAAAGACATGGCAGGGACGGAAAAGGGAGGAGCATGACATGGGAGGGTCGCAGATCGGCATTTGAGAAAAAGCATACATTCCACCGCAGCCTTTTCTTTCCTTTTTCTTTCCTTCGTGGGCAGTGCTGAGGTGTCGCAGGTGTCGCCGCGGGATCGGGCGGGGTGCTGAGAGCATTTTCGAAGCGCTGTGTAACGCCTGGGAGGTCGACACCGAACGTCAATGCCTCTGCAAATGCAATCTGTGTCAAGGGCAGCGCTCGAGCCCGCCTGACGCGATCAACTCAACGACGTCATCAAGCGGCGGCGCCCGTCTGTCGCGCAACGCACAAAGAACTCCCTCAGCCCACGAGCCCGATGAAGCAAGCAGCGCCTTCCAGTCTGGCAAGTCTCACGCAATGCGTGGGAACATCCCTCGTCCTTGGGTGCAACCACGCGCCACGGCGGGTCCCCATTGGAGGATTCTGACATCACGGCCAGCAGCGCTTCTGGTTGGACGTTTGGTGACTGAAAGGATCCACCCGGTGCCTATAAAAAAAGCCCTGCGGCGCGTCGCCAGCAGTAGACCTATGTGTCAGAGAAGCCTCTCGTTGCTTCAAGTCCTTTTGCAGTCGGAGGGGCCGGTGCCTTTGGAAGTGGCGAGTTTCGTGGCGCCTTTTGTAACCTCGTCGGTGGTGCGCTTCGTAACAGCTGTTGGCCCCAGTGCCGAATATGTAACGCCTGTATTTCTATGCTGTATATAAACTTTGTCTTAACTCGTCCTTGTCATCTCGTCCGCTTGTCTATTAGCTCTGCGCAGAAGCAAATGCGAGCTGAGTAACACATGCTACCAAACTGCTGGAGACCTTTGAGGCGGAGTTCGAAGTAGCAACAGCGGTATGTTCGAATTAACCGTCAGAAGTGCTTGGGTGTTCAAATTACCAGGCATTTTCACCTATTGGAATACACGTAGCTTTGACGGGATCACAGCATCAGTTCGAATTAAGTGTGTTCGAATTAATGAGGTTCTACTGTATATGACTTTAGTGTCCGTTTAATATCAGTTTTATATTGTTTTTGGTTCATAGGAATTGAGCATGACACGAGCATTTTACGTGCTTCCTTTGTATTCACATAATCGAGAATATATATAATTATATACTCAATTATGAGCCAGGCCATGTCACCAGTCATGATAGCGTCACGTCAACATACTATATATTCTGGATATATAATCGAGTATATATATATATATATATATATATATCTATATAATATATCTATAATATATTATATATATTTTAATATAAGCCTTATTTTTATACACTGCTCCAATTTGTCTTTCATGATAAAAAAAAAATTTCTTTTCCTGTAATTTGCTTCGAATTTGAATTTTAGTGCTCCAAAAGTTACATTTTCCTGTTTCCGAAATTGCTCCTAATGATATTTTAGCTGTTTCACTCTTGTGCGTACGCGTAAATACCATACTTGCTTCGCACAACAGCCGTGCAAATCCCGGAATTTTGTCATCCTGGGACTTCATCTCTATATAACAACAGCACCAAACTCTTACGTGTCACTGCCCCATGTTCTGAATTTTAAAGCATGAAATGAAAAAAGCGGGCATAAACAGCTCCATGTGGAATAGTTGCAAGACAGTATGGCATCAGCCGTTAGCGTTGGATGAGAGCCTAACCTCTGTCACAAGGCACGTGTAATGTCATTAGCAGTGAATAACCTTGAAAATGAATGCCGTTGCGATCTTGCAATCCGGGTCTAAACGGCTACGTGAAATGACATGTTGCACGTCAAAATGTTACCTGAAAAGTTCACAATCTTTAATAAACATCTGAACATGGTTTACACTTGCTTTAAGATTTCTATTTTGTGATCTGTTGTCAAGCGCCTGTTGATGATCAAACAAATGTCTCGCTTCCATGAGTTCAATGAACACATTAACGCCGTGAACACAGCTGCTGTGAATGTTTTTAGGTGTGATTGTAATTTACGATGCCCATGTAGCAACAAGAAAAATGACATTTAACACCTAATGTCATTCACAACGAATGACATAGCAGATGTAGTGTGACAAAAGTATAAGCCAAGCTCTAAAAAAATAACCCGGGTCCGCGCCAGGGGGTGCTCTACCCCCATTATGCTGCCCAGATGAAGCTCGAGCTCGCCCCGCCACGGTTGTCTAGTGACTAAGGTACTCAGCTGCTGACCTGCAGGTTGCGTAATCGAATCCCGGTTACGGCAGCTGCATTTCCGATAGAGGCGGCAATGTTGTAGGCCCGTGTGCTCAGATTTGGGTGCACGTTAAAGAACCCTAGGTGGTCGAAATTTCCGGAGCCTTCCGCTACAGCGTCTCTCATAGTCATATGGTGATTTTGGGATGTTAAACCCCACATACCATCAGGATGGCTGAGCTCCCTGGCCCACCGTACTCTCTGCCTATTCCCACTACAACGAACTTTTTCACAATCCCCGTGAGTTTTGTTGTAGCGTAGTTTTGTCATACTACTGTATAAACCGGACTATAGGTCGAGTGGGAATACAGGCCGATCCCTAAGTTCAGATTATCGAAAAAAAAAGGCAAACAACCCGAAATTGCCAAACGACATTTATTTACGAATTGGGCGCACCACACCGCGATCGTCGGAGCTCCCCTCAACCAACATCACAACTGTTAGACGAAGCACCACTGTCTACTCGTTAGACGAAGCACCACTGTCTTCTGAAGACGAGAATTTGTCGCTGGTTGCCTTCCCACAGTGCGTTGTCTTTCGTGCCATACAGCGAGTTCCTGATGTAACATTTCTTAAAAGCACTTTCCACCATGGAATCTGGCAAGCAACGTCAGGCGGAAAGCATCCAGCCATAAACAGTCGCAAGCGCAAGTGCTCGTTGCCAGTGGGCAACAGCTTCATATCCTTGGCGCCACGCTGCATGATCATGGTCGTTGAAGGCATATCAAACCACACAGGGGTCTCATCGGCATTGTCAATCTGCCTCATCATGTAGTTGTTCTGCTCCGGAAGCCGGTTCACGATGCCCTGAAAGTTTGTAAGCTTGTCCTCGAACTCGTCTGGAAACTTCTGACTGAGGGTGTGCGCCACCGGAAAGAAAATCCTTTGCATCTCATGAATCGCCCAACCCAAGAGTTTGGTGCCTGAAACTCTTCTCACTCTTCTCTCGTGAGCCCAGCTTCTTGAGCGAGTTCCACAGCTTTCTTGCGAATGGTATCCACGGTCACTGGCAGCGAGCATGCATGAACTTAACACACAAAGTACCCTAGCGTATCCTCCAGCTGCGAATGAGCCGCAGCTCGCCCACGAAATAACATTTTCCGAGGATTGCACATCTGCAGCTTCCCTTTCTGCACCATCCAATAGCGCACGCTCTTTTTTTTATACACCGGAGCGGCGCTGAGCAGCCATATTCCCATTTGCTTCTGCGAACTCAACAAGCTCCAGTTTAAACGCAGCTGAGTACTGCCTTCTCGTACTGCTACTCATATTAAGTTAAAAGACCACTAAAGATGAAACACAATGTCAAGCGGAGCGAGAACAGATCGAAGGCAAATCACGAACACAAAAAAAAAACAAGAAAGAGAAAAAAAAGAACTTGCTCTTGGATTTGAATGCGAATATGGCCGTGTCCAGCTTCTCATGCACATGCAAGCCACATGTTGCCAGACAGCGATGCGCTGCCTCTATATAAGATGAGGGGCAACTTTAGCTCGTTTTATTGAAAATATCTCGGCTTATATTCCGGTTTATACGGTACTTTCAATGAAATAGCTGTGCTCATGTTTAGTCTTGGCGATTCAGATGGGTTGTATGTTTCTACATAAATTTCTTTTCTAGCTGAAAGGGTTCCTTTTCATACTGCACCAAATTTGGATTTGGTACTTCGGAAGTAACATTTTGCTGTGTCCAAAAGTTGCTTCTTGTTCTATTGTGGCTATTGCACCACTGATTGCGTTGATTGGTGGTGTCGCATAGGTGTCCAAATAATCCCCATGAACTCATCCAAATTGATAGCATTTGATTAACCAGTCAGCAGCTGTAGAGATAATTTACAACACGAAATTTCCCTACCTGAAATTAATGTGAAAACTTTGCATGCCTTGCCGAGATTGAGTAACACGGAAATTTATCATTTGTTTTCTGACTTAGTGAAACGCAAAAACACAGACGTCTAATCGGGAGGGCTTTCACATCTTGGAGCAGTTAGGTTGTTCGCATTCGAATAATTAATAGCTGCATTGAAACCACATTATAAAACACCACATGTGAGAAACGAGCAATTGTCCCTGGTGCGTCTCTACTGGCAATATGTTTAACTGCATAACATCTAGCTCACTGTGCCTATACTATTAGCTGAAATTTTCATAATAATGAAGAACAAGTAAAACCTGCTGTATGAGCTATTCCTGTCATAGTCAGACCACTTTTAAAGACACATGCACCGGGAAGCAACTCTTGCCTTTAATATGAGGTTTCTCGTAAAAGCAGGGTACTACGCATGCATTTGCCAATGAACTTCTATTTGAACGTAAGCACACTGGCGTTTATTAGGCTCAATAGTCAGCTGCATCAGTGTTTCTTATTAGGTTAGGTTAAGTGAGAAAATGTCTGTGAAGATGCACACTTATCAAAAGGCACGGTTTGTAGGTCGAAGTTGCTATATTGTTTTTATTTAGCATTCTGCTATGGTCCATTCCTAAAAAAGGCACATTCTTATTTCCTCATAACATTGGCGGTCTGTTCCTAGCATGTTTTCATTGGTCGTAAATTCCAAATAATTGCTGATATAGGGCTTGCGCTTATCCTAGTAACAGGCATAAGCTGTTGCACACAAGTCTGGTGGTAAATGCAATGTCTGCTTGTAAGTGGTTGAAGACTTTGTGAATAATATTGCACCTTTATTTTTCACAGGTGCGAAACTTGCACAGCTGTATAAAAGTGGCTGAAGACTTTGTATCCCCAGAAAACATTGTTCACTGCTTCAGCTTGACCAATGAGTTCCGTCAGTTGTCTGACACCCACACGAACCATGAGGACAAGCTCCAGGTAAGCATTTATGCCCATTTTATTTCATATTAAAGCATGTAATTCTAACAAATGCTCAGTGGCACCAAAATTTAAGCCTCAAGATGTTTGTGTCAATCGGTAGTTGTCTGGTTATTCACCAGCTTGTTCATGTCATGACATTGGGCCTGGCTGGCCGACTCCGTCACCCTTACACTGTTCGGTCGATTGAGGTCGTGCCGACGTAAGTCCAGCTGCCCAGCATGTTCTCTCGTTCAACACGATCATCTCCTGATTCACTTGTCTTTTTGTGAAAAGTACTCTATATTATCACCGCATCAATTTGGCTTCCGACAGGGCATGTCCACGGAACTGGCTCTCCTCACACAAAAAAAAACTTATACATAACTCATTTGAAAAGAAACTCTTAACACTGAGTGTTTTTATTGACTATTCCAAAGCATTTGATAGAATCAACCACGAAGTACTCTATGCAAAATTGCGTCATTATGGTTTTCGCTGAACCCCACTTGACTTTCTGAAATCTTATTTATCACAAAGAAAGCAATCTGTAGTTATAAATGACAGCCAATCCTCCCTACTAACCATAACTTCAGGTGTACCTCAGGGCAGCATATTAGGGCCCCTACTGCTTAATGTTTATATAAACGACATAACAAGTGTCAGCAAATATGTGGACTTAATAATTTATGCAGATGACACTAGTATATTTTTTCATGGTAATGATTTAGGTAAGCTTGCAGGACTCAGCCAACAACATTCTTAACGACATCTTCATATGGAGTACTGCAAATTATTTAATGATCAACACAAAAAAATCCAAAGCTGTGGTATTCGCGCCGGTTCAGAAGGCTGTCTGTCGTGGTTTGGATATAAACCTAGGGCCCGAAAAAATTCAGGTTGTCAAAGAAGTTTCATCATTAGGAGTAATTTTTAATGAAAATCTTAATTGTGACGAACACTGTTAATGAAGTAACTAGAAATATAGCTAGGTACGTGTGGTGCTCTCTCTAAACTTCGACAGATACTTCCAGCAAACATTAAACTTTTACTCTATAGTAGCGTTGTTTTCGTCTCACATAAACTATTGTAGTCTAGGGTAGGCAGATACATCTAAAGCAAATCGGAACAAAATATTTTTACTGCAGAAAAAAGCGATTCGTCATATTGCAATTGTACCATACGATGCACATACAAGTCATTTATTCAGAGAATATAACATTTTACCGATCGATCACATACACAGCTTCAACCTTATTATGAAATACAAACAAAACTTGCTATCAAACAATGCTTGTTTTCTTAAACTGTGTAACCTCAGAAAAAATACACAATCCCATTATGGCATTTGGAAAAGGCCTTCCTGGTTCGTTCCTTATTCGCGACCTAATCATGGTTTGAGAAGACTTGAACACTGTATTTCTGCTTGCTTTAACATGTTTGAAAACAAAAACATCGACATCTTTAATATACATAAAAAACAACTTAAGAAGCTTCTCATCCAGAATGGCTGCGTGTAGTTTAGCTTCTTCTAATTGTCCGGCTAAAATACTATATGTAAAAGAAACACCCTATAATAGTGCTCGTGTGTAACATGGCATCCTATGATGTTTGCTTTCTTTGACATTTTTTGTTGCTTTTTTTTTTACGAGTAAAACATGCAACATTTCACTCGTCAGTGTTTCCTTTGTGCATCAAAACTCGTGCTTTTTGCATACCCAGTGTTGTAAACGTCGTATAATCATTTTGTAATACTTTGGTAGCCGTTTAGCAACGTGTGCATTGTTTCATGACTGACTGTACGCTCTTTTCTTTTTTTATTTGATGTTTTTCTCTCTTTGTGGTTTGCTTATCTTACGTAAACCTGAAACTGATGTAATTTTGATGCATTTTCTTTTTATTTCCTAATTTCTTGAAGTTTTGAAAATCGATGTCAAATTGTTTTTTCATGTTTGTGCTCTGCAGATTTTTTGTAATGCCAAGTGAAAAGGAGTAGGAGCCTCGTCACGCTGCTAACATAGCAGCTTTTTGCTCTTATCCTTGCGTTTTCTTTTTCGCTACTCTGTGAAGAAAACACTCAATAAAACAGAAAACTGAAATGCTCAGTGGCACCAAAATTTAAGCCTCAATATGTTCGTGTTAATCGATAGTTTATAAGTGTGGGAACTTGTGACAGATTTTTATTTATTTATTGTACCCTCAGGGCATACAGCATTACAAAGGGGAGTGGGTTTAGAAGACAAAAAATACAATTGAAACGTGAAAAACAAATCACATTCAGTACATGCGTACAACACTCTGAGAACAACGTGTAAATGACAACGCTTACACAATATCTAAAAAAAAAAAATTATTAGTGTTGGGTGTAAGTTTCAGTCAGGATATTTTTCAATACGGTTTTAAAGTGCACCTAAGTGCTCATTAAAGTTAGCAGCACCTCGCGATGTTGCCATGAATAAGATGTGAATCTGTCATGCGGGATAAATGAAGCTAAGAAAAATTGAGATGAGCACACATTATTACGGTTGGTACCTAACAGGGGCTGTTGTTCCTCTCCCTGCTGTTGGGCTTCCCTTAAGGTAGGTCACACTGCTACACTAGTGGTTGTGGGGTCTCGAAATGACGAGCGCCACGCTCTGCTCTCGGAGTGAAGGGACACAGTTGACATGGTTGGTACAAACCAAACAGCATACATACATTTATTTAACTAATTTAGACGACTATATCGCCCGCCAAATGATACATCAATTGTAATTAACACGCTACCATACAAGCAACATAACACAGTAACACACCAAACACAATAACATGACAGACACCATAACACACCCAAGGCGGCGTCGCCAACGCTTGACTTACCACGTGGGCCCCCCGGCGCGCAGGCCCGCGGTGCCACGCGCCGAGCCGACAAACGCTAAAGACAACCGTTCGCAGCAGCCGCCACGCGCAGAAGAGGCTCGCTCAACTCTCTGCCGCCACCAAGGCCTGCCTTCCGCCAGGAGTCACCGCCGGCGCTACCACTCTACCAACAGTGGTACTGAAAGCGAACACAACGCCATCTATTGCCCGGCGGTGGTCACCACCAAAATACGGCCTTGGGGCGAGACACGTGCGCCACGCGGCGCAAACAACTTTACAGGGGGTGTCAGCACCCCCACACGGTGTAATTAGTGTTGTAGTAAGAAATATGTCCTCCCCCCTGATTTTCTGAGGGGCATAGCAAATTGAAATAAGATGCCAATTTGGCACCTTCTGTCATGTTGACGGCAATGTCATTCACATACTTCCGAAGTCTCCCGGATCTGGCCTGCCTAATCCCATCCAGGCTTTGTGCGAAACTATCGGGCTATCACAATGTGCAGTTGAACCCTTTAACTGGTGTGCTACAGGCAGCAATTCTTGTTTTTATGTGAGATATCTCTTATGACCAGGGTACCTCACATGCCTCTTCTTTTGGACCCATATTTTAATACAGGCACACTGGTGATATATTTTATATCAGTGTCTCTTGTAAAGGGAAACTGTAATTTAACTCTTTCCAGCAAGGTAGTCACTCAAGGTAACCCTCCTTTTTTTTTCTTTTTTTTCCTGTTCAAACACGTGAGGCCAGCACGCTGGATTTTCAATCGCGCATTTTTTAAGGCTTTCAACTGTCTGATAAAGCTGACGCTCCTTAGTGTGGGCTTCAATGTGACATGTTACATTTGCCTTCTTCCAGCTGCTATTGTCCACAGTGCACACTAGATGGTGGGGGCGATATATTTTTAAAGATATAAAAGTATGTGCTATTCCTATCATGTATAGTGTAGATTATGAGTAGCTAACATTCCCGAAATATTAAATGAAAAGCTGTACACGGTAAGTAGAGAGCGCCGTGTCAACGAAATTGGTGGTCACCTGGGGTGACCATCATGCATGAAGGGTCTTAGTAGGCTGTTGATACATATTTTGGGAGCGGGGGCTATGGGCGCATTGACCATGGAAGTAGAAAGGGATGAACGATGACATGCTAGCAGCTCGCACTGAGCGGCCGCTGACACACCATCGTCATCATCATCATGATCGTGGCTGAGGTTTTGACGAGTAAAGGCGTGTTGTTCTGTGCCTCGTTGTTCCTGGCCAGCCGCTGCCAGAACACCACAATACCGTATTTACTCGTGTAACGAAGCCACCTTTTTTTTCTTTTTTTTTTTTTCAAAACATTTGAGACTGCAATTTCAGGGGAGGGTTATTACGCAGTAGAAAAAAAGTCATGGGAGTTATAACGTTTTGGAAACTATAAACACAGTTCGTTCTGGGCAAAAGGCTCAACATGTTCTCATGTTCTTCGCGGGCCTGATAGCCTACTGTTCACGGTAGTCACTACCGCCTGGCCATCCCTTAATCTACACATGTAACAACTGGCGACGAGGATGAAAGGAAGTTTCATGTAAGTCTTCGTTCCCGCAGCACTTTGCCATCTGTTCACCATGCCAAGTTTCGGCAACCTCGAGCCGTTCAAGGGGGGAGGAGACTACTGGCCCTGTTATGTGGACCTGCTCAAAGCATTTTTCCTGGCGAATGATGTCGCCCCAGACAAGTGTACTGCCAAATCATCAGCTGCTGCGGGCAAAAACGTATGCTTTGCTCCACAATTTGGTCAAGCCCGCCAAGCCCAGTGACAAGACGCTGGACGAGATTCTTCAAGTTCTTGGAAGCCGTTACCGTCTGAAGCCCTCTGCCGTCGTGCAGCGTTTTCGTTTCAACTTGCGCGTTCGCATGAAAGGGAAATTCGTCAGCAATTTTATCACAGCAGTAAAAAGCCTGTCCGAGCACTGCAACTTCGGGGCTGAACTCGAAAACATGCTCCGCGACCGCGTCGTGTGTGGCATAAACAACGTGGATGTCCAGACAAGACTTCTGGAAAAAACCGGACCTCACCTTCGACGACGCCGTGCAGACCACTCTGGCAATGGAAGCAGCGCAAGCGAACGCAAGCAGCGCTTTCTCGATTCACCGTGTCTCAGCGGGTTCTTGGGCTTCACCTGCTACCGCTGCGGGGATGAACTTCCTTGCATCGAAATACAAGCATGTGAAGACAATCTGCAATTACTGCCACAAACTAGGTCACTTGGTGCACCTATTGTTCCTGTGACCTAAAGGGATGGACGCATCGGAATCTGTGGAGACTTTGGTGTCACCATAAACCCAGTGACAACAGTGGAGCAGTACCCCATTCCAGGGATCAAGGACCTGTGGACTGTGCTTGCTGGAGGTGAGAAATCCACAAAATTGGATTTGCGAGATGCGGACCAGCAAGTTGCCCTTGACGAGGCCTCTAGGGAGTATGTCACCATTTTGATGCATATGAGGTTATTTAGTACACCCAATTGCCTTTTGGAGCCTCATGTGTTCCTGTCATATTTCAGCGCGAGATCGAGAACTTGCTCAGGGGACTGCCCCATGTAGCAGTCTATTTCGACGACATTCTTGTGACTGGCACAATTGATGCTGTGCATCTTCGCAACCTTCAAGCTGTGCTTAGCAAGTGCCAGGAATCTGGCCTCAAGCTGAAACTTGAAAAATGCCACTTTTTTGTGCCACAAGTTGAGTATCTCGGGCACATCATCAGCAAGGAAGGCCTTTCCCCGAATGTTGACAAGGTAGCAGCCATTCTGCATGCTCCTGTGCCTCAGGATGTTAGGGAACTTTAGAGTTTCTTGGGACTTGTGAACTTCTACAGGCGCTTCTTACCTAATTTTTCGTCACTCCTTCGTCCACTGCACTTGCTTCTTTGTGAAGGGAAGAAGTGGGAGTGGAAACAAGAACAACAAGATGCATCCAATGCCTACGAGCACTTGGTCACATCAGCTCCAGTTCTTGTGCATTTCAACCCTGCCAGGCCTGTTTGCCTCAGCTGTGACACATCGCCTCATGGTATAGGTGCAGTTCTGGCCCACAAAGATGCTGATGGCCAGGAACATCCCATTGCTTTTGTTTCGAGGAGCTTGTCAAAACCAGAACAAAACTACAGTCAACTCGACAGGGAGGCACTGGCTTTAATGTTTGATGTGGATCGATTCCTTGTGGGGCGTCTCATTCGAACCACACACCTACCACAAGCCACTTCTTGGACTGCTGGGTGCCAACAAGCCCGTTCCCGTGTAAGTTTCGCCTCGAGTGGTCAGGTGGGCTCTGAAGCTTTCTGCTTACAAGTATGAACTTGTATACAAGCCTGGCAAAGAGCTCGGCCACGCTGACGCTCTTAGTAGACTGCCTCTCCCAACTGACACTACTGCATTACCACGACCTGCTGAAATCTTGCTATAGGAGGCATATCCAAGGCTCCTTTCACCACGTGTTGTGGCCCAAGCCACACGAAATGACCCAGTTCTGGGCCATGTTGTTCTTGCTGTTTTTGAAAGGAGAAAGCCTCCCAGTAGGACCAGAGTGGAACCCTTTCAATACCAGAAGCTCAGAACTCAGTCTCCATGAGGGTTGCCTACTCTGGGGATTGAGAGTAGGGATCCCAAAGTCATTGCAGTCCCAAGGTCTTGGTGTTCTTCATGCCAGCCACCCAGGTATAGAGAAGAGCATGATGATTGCCAGGAGTCATGTTTGGTGGCCAGGCATTGACAATGACATTGCCAACAGCGTGAAGAGCTGCACTATGTGCCATACTCAACATCGAGCTGCACAGCCGGTTCAGTAGACACCGTGTCCTTTTCCACAGTGACCCTGGTCAAGGCTTCACATTGATTCTGGGGGACCATTTCTAGGTCGCACTTTCTTGGTTATTGTGGATGCATTCTCAAAGTGGATAGAAGTTTTTCCTGTGTCTTCCACATCTGCAGAAGCTAGTATTTCTGCATTGAGAATTGCATTCGCTCAGCATGGCCTGCCTGATGTCATAGTTTCCGACAACAGTCCTGCCTTCACCATTGCCCAGCACCTTGAGTTCTTAACTCGAAATGGAATACGCCGCATGCTTGTACCGCCATATCACCCTGCCTCAAATGGTGCAGATGAACGAGTTGTACAAACTGTGAAGAACAAACTCGAGAAGTCTGGTTCTGGGAACTTCCAAACGCAGATCTCCAGGTTTCTGTTCCACTATAGGACCACACCACATGAAGTGACAGGTCGGCCACCGTGTGAACTCTTGATGGGGAGAATATTCAAGACTCCGTTGGATGTCCTCAGGCCAAGCGTGCAGGCATCTGTATTCCTAAAACAACTCAGGCAGAAGTTGTATGCTGACAGAGTGTCCCGGCAGGCTCCATCACTGCAGCCAGGTGATGACGTGTACGCGCGAAACTATCACAGGGGTACACCCTGGGTGCCTGCCAGTGTTGTCGATGTCACTTCGTCATCAGCCAGTGTCCGTTTTGAAGATGGCACCTTGGGAAACCGGCACAGCGACCACTTGCGCCTTGTGCAGACAGAAACATTGGCCTCTCTTGAAACTGCTATCGCTGCAGCTCCACCACAGTTAGAGTCGCTGCTTCTCCTTGCACCAGCTGTTCCGGAAGTGCTTCATCAGGAACAGCTACCTGGAACTAGCTTCTCTGGGAGTAGCTGTGCTACGGACAGCGACGGGACTGCGCTCAGCAGTGGTGTGCGTGTGAACAGTGACTCTGTCATGCCTACGCCTAGCACGCCGAAGTTGCGACGTGGCACGAGGACTAGGAAACAGTAAATAGGTACTCCCCGTAGTCTTCCTCCTAAGAGGGGAGGAGTGTTACAATATTAGCTCAAATGCAGCACCTCCACGCGACGCTACAATATTAGCTCAAATGCAGCACCTCCACGCGACGCTGATAGTTGTGTTCTACTGTGCAAGCCTGGCACAGCGAGGGGTGGCCATTTTGGAAACAATAAACACAGTTCGTTCTGGGCAAAGGATCTCAACATGTTCTCATGTTCTTCGCGGGCCTGATGGCCTACTGTTCACGGTAGGAGCTACTGCCTGGCCATCCGTTAATCTATACATCTAACAACAGCAAAAATTTCGCATGATGTTTTTGGCCAGGGAAATGCGCAATGAATTTTTTTCGTAGCCCAAAGCTCTTCCTGTTTAAAAAACTAATGTGTACGGATCGAGGCTGAAGTGTCTTTCAGCCGCTCAGTGCCTTTTTACAATAGCCACATAAAAACTTCATTGCTAAACATGGAAAAATGTTCTTTGCAGATTAAAAATGTGGTCTACCATGCTGTGAAGGATGCTTTGGCGATTCTAAAGGCAAATCCTGCTTTAGACCCCAAGAAATGAAATGTGTGCGGCATAGGCTGAGGATCTCAAAAAAAAAAAAAAGTTGGACCTCCCTTCAACTTTCAAGGGATCTTCGGCCTGCGCTTCTCTTGGATGTGTCTGGCAGGTCTTAACTTGCCAACCGAAGGTGTTTCCGCCATCTCCTGTCTGGACACATTTTGTACATTTTTTTCTCTTCCCATCAGAGTGCCAGCCAACGTGTGTGTGTTCTCCTGTAATATGAACCATTGAATTTCAGTTGTTGCTAGTACGCTTCCCTTATTGTTACTTTGTCAGGGGCCAGCCGTACTTGTTTTGTAAAAGAATCGGATCAAACTTGCTTGCAAGTGTGTGTGTGTCTGTGTGTGTACACGAGTGTTGTGGGCACCAACAGCTGTTAATTATGTTGTAGACTTCTCTGCGCCCCTCCTTGACAATTGTCTTGCCAGCTATGTTCAGCATTTTTTCAGAGCAGCACGCTTTGAGAGACAATAACAATGCATACATTTTCTGCACTGTTGCCATGTAAAATAGAAGTGTTGTACTTATATATACTTAAGAAGGTATATATAAATGCATATATCTACTTATAAATATTACATTGTAGTTGCTTCTGTTCTGTTGCTACTTTAACTCCTTTAGTTTCCTGTGTTTCTTTGTTTTCATTGTTTTTCCACAATCACCATCTCATCGGTGTAGTCAATTCCATTGATTATTGTTATTTTAAGACTCACAGTAGTACTGAGTTTGTACATGTATCTATTCCATAGCAATATTTTTATATTGAAAATGTGATTGACTGTAATGTCAGTCTATAATGAAAATCACTGTTTTTATTTGAAGGTGTTTGGCTGATGTTAATGGTTCCAAATAAATTGTTCATTTGTAAGCCTCCTTGGACTTTGGATGCCCCCCCTCTTTTTTTCAGGCAATAATGTGGACCGAGTGGCTCACATATTTATTAACCAAGCTTTGCACATGACAGAATCGCCAGTGTTAATATTGCTTGTTGGAGTGTTAATATAAAAGTAGGCCACTGAGTGTTGTTCTGACAAAAGACAACTACTCTGTGTGCTGGAATAGAAAATTTTGGTGACTTGCATATTCATCAAACGAGCTTTAAAGGTAGCCATTTGGTTAATGGTTCTTCATTAAGTGTTAATTTGAAAGTAGACCACCGAGTGTCAAAAGTCCACACATCCATCATTGGAAAGGCTGCCGTGTCGATTTTTTCACTAATGCAACACTGCTCAGGCCACAAGGATGTGGACAGCTTTGTTTATGCTGTGTCAAGTGGCTTGCATGTTTTATAAAACAAGCTTTACAGATATTGGAGAATCGCTGATGGAAAGGTTCATTGAGGGGTGTGCACTTCATTGAACCTTGTGCACCACCATTGCGGGACGTGCACCTCTTTGGCGAAAAAAAGAAAAAAATAGTTCTTGGCACGGGCTCGGTGTGCTGCCGCCCCCTGGCTATTCCACTGCCTGCGCTCAAGCTTCGTCATCAGGAACGCAACGTGATAGCGTAATAGGACCCCGGGCACATCGCCTTTTCAATTGCTAGCCTGGTCTTCTGTTCTAGATGCATTCAGTCTTCAACCGTGCCATTAGGAAACAAAGGACTGTGAGCCTACCATTGGTCGTTCCATGCTATTTCATGCGTCTCTCATAATCATATAGTGGTTTTGGGACGTTGAACCCCACATATCAATCAATCCATGCTATTTCACCATGCCTACAAGCTAATATATGGATGTTTTTAAAATCATTGTTAATGGATGAAAAATGTCATAAATTAAAGAAAACTATAGGAGAACGCAACAAGCCTATAGGGCTCAGATGAAGTGAATTTTTGCCTACGCACTTAATTTTCTATTCATTTTTTCCCCTAGGAAATGGCATGCGGCTTGGCAAACATGAAAACCGAACAAGCTTATAGAGAGAGGATGTTTTCAAAATCATTAGTAACAGATGGTAACAGTGTAGGCAAAAAGTGAATTTATGGCTACACTCTTAACATTCAATTAGTTTTGTTTACCTTACGTATACCGCTTCACAAATGTTCCTGTTGCTAAAGCCCTTTTCCCTTGCTCCAAAGGAAAGAACCACCAGAAGAAATGAGTGTATAGGGATCCCACAAAGAGGTTTTTTTTTTTTATTATTCTCAAATGTACATGTTAAAAGGAAATGATTCAGAGGCTCACTTCAGTTGTAGTGGAGGCATACGGATGAGTGTACCAGACCAGACCTCTGTAAGTAAAAATTCAGCGGTGGGGGACTCTGCACCAGTGGTCTGGTAATTGACATTTACACCCTTCTAGAGGAGAACCATCCATTTTTCCAAGGATACGATGAGAAAATTTGGATGTTGCCAAGCGAGACTTAGCATGCTAGCGTCGGCAATATAAAAATTGTGGGACTGTTATGTGGTGCCACTTCATATACATCTGCGTACTGGTTGAGGGCTGAACCTTGGTTACCTGGTAGCCACACCAAGTGAATGAGACCTAAATATCTGGGGACAAGAGAATACAACACTTCTAAGGCATTCGACAGATTACAGGCAGTTAATGAAGAACAGATTGACTGGCACCCAGTCAGAATGACAGCATCTGTTCTAGATTACTTGTAAAGTCACGTAAACGAATTGAAAAAGACCAATGCATACCTTGCGATGCAATTTCCACTCCTGCCTTTTCTTCACAAACTGAAGCATCAGCTGCAATTACAATGTTTAATTCGAAACTAGTCAGACGGTCTTTCAAAATGGCATTTAGGTACTTACTGGGAAGATCTTTGAAATTCTTGGGAATATATAGTCAAACATTTCTGTAATTTTTCAAATGGTTCTTTTAGTATCAGTATATGATGAAGGTTCACGTGTAATGTTGCCAAGTTTCTGTATGACGATGACTTAGGGGTGGGGCTCTTAATCTAAACCACTGTTGGTTTAACAAGATGTCGTGTCCTTAATAAAAACATACTGCAGATATCTTCAGGAAGACACGAACTGTTAGAATTCGGAACCTTGTAAGAAGAGAAGGCCGGCATGCTTACATTTATATAAAATATTTGCTACAAATTTACGGAGCTCAACACATAACTGTAATAATATGCCTTCTAGAAGTACCCGCGGTCGATTTTTGTAGTCGGGTGCTTCAGAAAACAAGACGCAGCCGCACTCCGATATCGGGTGGAGGACATCAGGATGTATACCGTGTCGTTTAATTACTGCGAAGTCTACGTAGCATCTTTATTGCCCGTGCTCACGTGCTCCTTTAGCTGCCATATTTTCCTTCCTCCGTGTTTTGGCCCTCAAAAGGTTCGTGCCACCTGGTGGCAGCAGACGCGGCCCAAGAATAAAGTCCCTGAAAAATAAACTAAAGTAGCGCCAACTGCACCCCTTCGCCTCTACCTCCTCTCCCAGCAGCCACAGCAGCGCCTCTAGAGTGTCCACCAGGAAACTACGAATGCGAAAGCACGCGGGCGCACTGGATGTGCCAGACGCTTGGGCAGCTCGGGCACTGCTGCGCCGTGCGTTTTTCATCGAGCTGCTGTTCCTCGGGTATGCTGAAAGGGTACGCCGGTGGCGTCTGTTCGGGGAGCGCGCGCTCGCTTCACAGAAGCAAAGTCTACGGCAGCCATCGTTCCGAGATTCTTCATCGCTGCCCCAGCGTGTGTGCGGCGTTGCCAGTATTTCGTATTCGGTACACTTCCTTTGCATTTCATTCGTCGCTGAACAGTTCTTTGTATCGTTAATGTGGTGACATTACTCGTTCGTTCGTTGGCCGATTCGAAGGAATAGAAAGCTAGCTACCCCTCGCAAAACAGGCGATGGATCGTTCTACGTTTTCAAAGCAAGCATTTTGTGCGAAGAAGCCAACCTTTCTACTGTAGAAAAAACTACAAAAGCAACTATGACTTTGGCACGCTCTTCTTGGACCGTCGGTACCGAAAGCTTTAAAAGGTCGCCGCAGCAATATTTAATACAGCGCCGTGCGCAGCCGAAGGAAAGACTCAGATATACGTTGTCGGCGCGGGGCCGACCAGTTCGAGTTCACCGTCAATTGCATGAAGCGACTGCGTGGGCGAGTTAGGCCATGTGATACTACTGGCAAGTGCTGACAAAATCAGGTCACATGGTCATGCTGATTCTTTCTTCGGTCTGTGAGGTTATATGCTGCTCGTATTATTTGATGTACAGTAATTTAAACAACTACTGCACATCGTGCGCGTATATTGACAGACGTGGCTTGTTACAGTCTGCATAGAAGGTACATTGATATGTAAGCTAGTGTAAAACTGGGTGAGTTCGCTCATATTGGAAAAAAAAAAAAGCACAGCCGAGGAGGCAATAGAGCCCATAGAAGTATTACGTAAGACAGGCGGTAAACAAACGAAATACTATCTGAAGAATACAAAAAAAGGTAGCGTTCGCGCATGCATAGTGCTTTTTAGCATCTCTCTCTAGCAGCTGAATGCGCAACCCAACAAATAAAACATATATTAAGACTGAACTTTGTCCTTTTTCCCTGCATTTCTCTTCTATCTGCCAACGTGTTTGAGAGTTTAACCTCCTCGACAGGATCTAAAAATCTGCATACAAGAGGTGCATGCAGCCCGATTATACTAACATTTGCGATTGCTGTAAAACATATTCCAATTGGAGACTTGCAGTTGTTAGTCCAGCATGTGTCCAATGAAATTTTCTACCTATGTTCTCGTCCATGCCTTTATTCTTTTAATAGGTGTATTAAAATACAATCAATAAAAATGAGTAAGCATAGCTTGCTCCATAAAGAATAACGTATCTCAAGCTACTTGGTTATTATTATAAGGTACGAACAGCTCGCATTTCACAAGGACAGAGGTTGGGGTAGTGCGATAATGTGCATAATGTTTCTCCTCTGTGTTCTGGCGAGGTCCATACCGTTTGTGTCCAGTGTTACATGAAGTTCCTTCTTTGCACATATGATTGTCCCCATTGTTTAAGCAGAATGCATCTCTCTTAGAATAATGTTTTACACTTACATACTGGCTCTAGGCCACTCAACATCCGTCACACCTCGGTCTTCCCTGGCATGAATACATAAGAATGACTGCGTCTGGGAAGGCAGCATTGAGTACACATGTATTCTTGGGGTGTTCATGGCATGACATGTTTATGCATATGCCATCATAATAGCATACAATATGTCGAGCAAACAAAAGGGCCTGGTATTTATTAGGAAACCCCATTCCATAATGTCACTTTATTGATTAACACCAAAGTTCAAGTACAGGTGATTCTGTGCAAAAACTGAATGAAGAACACAAAACATGACATTTATTCAACATTTCATGAAAATGCAGGACTGCCTCAATCATACATGATAATTATGCAGTGTACACAATAAATGACCTGAAATATGTGTTAACGGTGACTTGTTGCTATACGTGCACATCACAATGACAAGAGTAAAGAAAAGCGATGGCATTCGTGGTGCACTCACAACTAGCGACAAGTGGATGCAATTTGTGCCAAACACCTTTATCAAGATTAACACTCCACATGTGGAATTTAGTGAATGAAATGAAGTACACATATTGAACTTTCGAAAGCACAGGAATAGGAAGTAGACATGGAAAGCACCTACTGGGGATATGCAAAACATATTATGCAGATATGTAGGCATGAAACAGGACATACACATAAAAGACATAATAAAACAGATGTAATAGGCACAGCAAAACCACGGACCTAATCATAGACTAGTGAGGGTAACAACAGCTCTATATGAAGAGAAGAAGAGCGAAACTAGCCACTAAAATAGAGGCCAACCCAGATGTAATTGGAATAAAAACACACAAGCTTATAATTGCCCTCAACAACAAGTGCAAAGCTGTAAAA